GAATAAATCTGAATGACATTCAAATTTCGCCTGTCTTCCCTTTTGCTCAGCATGACACCCAAGTCCATAAATTAATTTCACCGGTCCTGGAACTTTCACTAACCTCTTTAAATGAAATTTAAAACTGAAACCTAACCTGCAAATTACATTAGCAAGTAGCGAAAATCCGAATCGAATTTAAGAGGAACGTTCTGTTAACGTTCAGGAAAACAGCGTCAATACTTTTTGAAGTTTCTTGCCTCTTTTGGATTGTTTAAATTTGAAAGAGTTTGAAACAATTGGTAATGGTTAATAAAAGAGAGAAATCAAACAAAGTGGGATTATTTTGATTGCAAACGGATGTTTTTCGGACGTTTCGAAGCAAATTGATCGAATTGATTAATATATTATAATATATTAATATATTATAATATATATATTATAATAATAAATATATATTAATATAATATAATATATCGTTGATTGAACAGTAAAGTCTATTATAAGTCACTGTCAAAATACAATACGCCGTTGCGAGTAACAAATTCGATTTCTACGAAATATCAGGCCGTCGGCTGTAAATTTAGAATTTAGAATAATCCGATGCCAAATGTAATTAGAAACCTCGCTGTAAATTACTTTTGATTATTAACCTAATTTAACATAATATAATACAATTCGAACGCTGTAAATTACTTTTGATGATTAACCTAATTTAACATAATATAATACAATTCGAACGCGGATAATTGGAATTTAAATCGATGTAATGTAAATCTAAAATCCCCATGAACGAGTAGACTGTCGAATTTAAGGCAAAATTGCTTCGCAATTAAAATCAGTGAGAATAATCAATACAATTTCCATAGAAATTCGTTTGTCGCTGACGAGAATCGAAAATTTGAGAGTAACGTAACCCTAACTCACTTTATTCATTTAAAAGTTAATTTAAGAAATAGCAGAAAACATAAACTGAACAAAGTCAAATTTAAACATTGGATCGAGTTTAGCGAACGTTAATGACAGAAACGAAATCTGAAAATTACTCGAACAAATATTCACCGAGCCGAGAAACACATCGCTGATGATTTAATTTAAATCGTCGTGTGATTCAAGATTGAATTTGGGAGGAAGTAGAATATAGAAGAGAGAATGCAAAGTTTGTAATTACAGCTTACAGATCCAGTTTCAATAGGAATTGACGCGGTGAGTCTCGTTCCCATTGAATTTCCAACGAAAATCCACGATCTTCCAATAACGCCAGCTGCAAAAACTGTCCAAGCGCGCCAAATCATGGGATTATTACACCGAAATCCCATAATCGATAAAACTCAAGATCAATGAAATCTATTCAGGGCAATTCTTCTGCTGTTTCTTCTTCCTGACGCAGATCTAATTGTATCTAGAAATATTCTGAAAGAACTGGGAGGATCCAAGAGAACAATTTCAGTACAATTCGGCGCACGTAAAATTTGGGGACTGTTCCTTCTCGAAAAATTGAATTTGCAAATTTCCAGCGCTCACTGATCCTCTGAAGGTTGCCACTCTTATGAAACATCATCGGAATCATTAAAAATCTCGTTTAAAAAAAAATTCCCTATATGCACTTTTTTTAAAAAATTCCCTAGATCCAACCATGTCGCCATTTCAATCGATGACAATCCCGGCGGAAACGTTAATCGGCTGCGTGTAAAATAGCAATTCTACAGAGTTTAAATCTCATTTTAAAAAAAAATCCCTAGATCCAACCACGTCGCTATTTCAATCAATGGTAGTTCCTGTTCCGGTGGAAATGTTAACCGGTTGCGTGTAAAATAGCAATTCTACGGAGTTTAAATCTCATTTAAAAAAAAATCCCTAGATCCAAGCACGTCGCCATTTCAATCAATGGTAGTTCCTGTTCCGGTGGAAATGTTAATCGGCCGCATATAAAGTAGCAGGCTGTACGGAGGATAAGAGGATATAGAATGTCACTCACGTGTTCCATCGTGGCGGGATACTGCGACGGGTAGAGGACGAACGTTCCGATCAGGTGCGCTAGGGAGAAAACAATGCCGGCGATGCACGCGTGACGCAGCCTTATTGGTAGAAGCGCGTACGCCATGTAAATGAAGAAACAGACGGCCCAGGCTGCAGCCAATGGCCCTCCGCTTTGATACTCCCTCGATTCAAACGCCAGATGTATATTCAATGCCACTTGCAACGCGAGCAGCGTCACTAACACTATTCCGCTCACGCCGGCTAACCAGATTTCGTTCATCCCGGGCCTTGATATCGCTGCCACCAGTGCTGCAATTTAAGGAAACTTGAAATGTTACTAGATTCTGGGGGGAGGGGAGGAATTGGTTTCTTGGAAATGTGTGAATAGCTTAGAAGTGGACCTGCGTAGATTTCTGAGGATTTTGTAAGAACACTACATTTTCTGAACTAGGAAACAAGTCACCAGATTTTTAGCTAAATTGGCTGTTGGTTCAAATTTCAAGAAGAGGAGCTTGTGAGCAGTTTAGAAGTGGCTGTGGAAGTGTCGTCGTCATGTCATTAAGGTTTTTGAAAAAGTTACTAAATCTTTATGTAACTTGTTTGTAGTTCTATAGATTTGTAGGAGTATGGTGCTGTATTTTTTCTAGGCTAAGTAAAAAGTTACTAGACTTTGATTGTAATTGACTGATGAAATATGTGAAAGTGATTACCAAGTGATTACTAAGTAGTCAAAATGACTCAAGGTTTTGCAAAGATTTTAGGTTAAGTGAAAAGTTACTGGACCCTAGTAACTTTTTACCTTAACAAGTTGGTGGATACATGAGAGATCTAAGACGCGGCCCTACAGAGAATTACTTGTACAATATTGATATTTCCAATTGCTTCAATCATCACGTTCACGTTGAATTAAAACGTAAAAACTGAACCATGTGTCATCGAGTGTTACCCAAACAATCAATATGTTAAAAAATCAACCTATCGAAAATCGAACTGTTTACATATCTCTCATGAATGAAGCTGCTGTACGAACTTTTGTCAACGAGCGGTCGCTTTCGAGAAATAAAAGGTTGCGAAAGTTGATCTAAAAAAAAAAAAAAAAAAAA